GTGTGTGTGTGTGTGTGTGTGTGTGTGTGTGTGTGTGTGTGTGTGTGTGTGTGTGTCAGTTAGAGAAGTCACAAGTGCTTTGTTTAAAAGTTGTGAATAGTTCTTTTCCTTTGAATACATTTTTTATAAGGTCTATCATATCTTATCTTTACTACTGATACAGTTGAGTTGTTATTTTTGGCCAATTTTAAAAACAGCTTTTGCCATTTTGTGCAATATTTGGAAAATATTGTCTTGTTTTCCCCGTTGTTTCAGCTCGGGCTGTGTTTGGTGTTGAACTCTGTGTAACTAAGATTTGCTTGAGGTAAAGCCTAAAACTAACTTTACACGGCATTAACTGAGCTAAACAGTGCACTGTACTCAAAGTTTCAGGTGACATTTACAAAAACAAATTTTCATTTGCTAAAATAAAAAAAATACTTCTGGTTGCTGTTTGTGTTTTTCTTTAATGTGTGTGATTAAAAAGAGGTTTGCATTGAGCAGGACTCTTGAAATGCACTGGTCTGCACACACCTGTTGTATTACAGGTAAAAATGAGTCTGAGGAGGAGGATGAGCTGCTGAGATCTTGTGAGAGCTGTGCGTGAGTAGTATGGCAGAATACATGGTAATGGTAAAACTAGAACTAAACACGATTTAATACAGGTAAAATAACACAAAAATTTAATTTAAAAGCATCCTAAATATAAATCACCGTATTTCCTTTCTCGATTAAACAAACTGGACGAGGAAACCTCAGAGACTCTGGAGAGTTACTTGGACGAGTGTTTGATTGCATCGTGATGGGCAAGAAAACAACCACCGCTCCGGCAGCTGTTGCCACGCCGTCTTTTAAAGAATGTGTTCAGATTGCATGGCTAGCTCCTCCGCTACCGCTGAAAACCAAACGCTGAGGGAGAGCGTAAAACAACTCACCGAGGGAATGACGTCAGGAGACGGAAACTGAAGGAGGCCATCCTGGACCTGCAGGCTCGGGGAGCTGAAGAGAGACAACCTAGTCTTCTCCGGGATCCCAGAGCAAGCAGAAGAAAATGCTGAAGCCTCGGTTTGTGATTCCCTCCAGCATCAACTGAAGTTTCTGTACGACGTATGAGAACAGGTGTGGTTTCACTTTATTCTCTTACACACAGAGATAAGTGCTCTCTCAATGGGACCGGTACCCAACAGAAAAAATATAGGATTTTTAACCAGCTTAAAAGATTAAAGGCAGATTTTGTCTTATACAAGAAATTCATAAATCAGCTTCAACTGCAGATGATCTTAAATCTCCTGAGTTTCCTAATGTATTCTCAGCCTGCTATAATTCAAGACAGAGGGGAGTAGCTGTATTAATACACAAAAATATTAGTTTCACAGTATTAAACATGGTTATAAACCCAGAGGGTAGATTTATTATCTTAAAATTATCTATACTTCACCAACAATTCTGTAGCGTTAGCTTATATGTGAGCCATCATATCCAAATGAGGATTAAGTTAAATTAGGTCAAAATGACCTAATTACATTTTCAGATTCTTGTCTTTAAAAGCTACATTTTGATACCTGGATCATCCTGATATCATAATTAAATCCATATATATGACTTAATTTGTCTTGTTGGTTACAATAATACATAAATATTTGGTC